GTTTTATGAGCTTTATTTAAAAAATAAATAAAGATTCTGTTGAAACATGGCTGAAAAGCAAAATCTTATTTTGATTTGTTAATTTTAAAAGATTTATTTATTATAACTTTTCAGATTCAAGTTATTTCTGTGATCCTTCTTTTTTTTTGTTGGGGGGGGTCATTAAAGGAGGGGTACCAACAATTTTGTCCCGTTTGTAGTAATAAACTTCTGTATCAAATTGGAATGGACCAGTGTGGCAGCTGGACTGGGTCATTTGAATTTAAAGAAGCAGCCTCAAAACGAGCTGCTTTGAAACACTTCAGAAAATGGGTGAAAGAGGGGCTTGTGGATTTAAAATAAGGGAGGATTCAGAGCACAGCATTGCAGTTCTACTTTATATAGACACCAAACTAATTATTTAAATGTGAAAAAATAAGGATTTAAAAGTATTTGTCTCCTTTAACTGAGAAGTTGTAGATGGATGGGATTAACTCTTTCAGCTGCTACGACAAAGAAGAATACCAAAGAGGACATCCAGTTACATGTATGTGAACCCTTTGGGATTTCTGCATAAATTAATCATTAAATGTTCTGATCTTCATCAAAGTCCCATCACACAGGATGATATGTTAGTGGTGCTGTGGAACATCCAGGTGCTCCTTGCAAACTTCAAACATGCAGCCATGTTTTTTTTTTGGACAGTAGTGGTGTCCTCCCATGAACTCCATTCTTGTGTTTTGTTTTATTTATTGTAGGTTTGTCCACACAAATGTTAAGAAGTGTCAGAGGTTTCTGTAAGTCTTTATCTGACACTCCAGGATTCTTCCTCACATCACTGATCATTCTGCTCTTAGTCATTTTTACAGGACGCCCACACCTAGGGAGAGTAGCAACAGAGCTGAACTCTCTCCATTTGTAGACCGTCTGTCTTACCGTGGACACATGAACAACAAGACTTTTACAGATACGTTTGTAACGCTCCCAAGCTCCATGCAAGTCAACAAGTCTTGAACATAACGTAGGTCTTCTGAGAGCTGTTTTGTGCGAAGCGTGATTCACATCAAGCAATGCATCTTCAGAACAGCAAACTCAAAACTGGTGTGWTTTTTAATAGTGCGGGTGTGCCCTGCCCTATAAAAGCAGGATCCAATCACATCACATTGATTAGACTCCAGGTTGGCTGAAACCTGGCTCCAACTAGCTCATAGAAAAGTCATTTGCCGAGGGGTTCACGGACTTTTTCCACCCTGAACTATGGATGTTTACATGTTGTGTTCAATAAAACCATGCAAACATATCATTTTTTGACTGTTTGTCTGTTGTTGTGACTTTGATGAAAATCAGAATATTTTATGATCAATTTATGCAGAAATCCAAGAAATCCCAAAGGGTTCACAGACGTTTTCATGCAACTGTATATGGATGCTCTTGAGTGGATATGGAGGTAGTTAGAGTTAGAACAGAGGAGAAAAAATAACAAAAGTAATTTAAGTTTCAAGATTTTTGAAACACAGTCACTATGCTTCTACTCTGTCCATATTCTGTACAGGTCTTAGGTCCAGTTTACTTTTCTCGGATTTTGAGTAAAACCATTCAGCTGTCTGTGTACACTATTGTTCTTGTTTCCTCTGAAATCAGTGGTTTTTGAATCCAGCCCTCAAAGAGGAGATTTYTGGGAGACATAAGATTAGGTTCCTGTGTTCACTATTTTGGATGCAACTACTTTATTTCTCATACACCAGACTGCCTGCACATTTCATTATAGCTCAGCCTCAGTGTTGCCTGATACACAATATTCATTTTTTTCAGTCCTTTTCCTCTGTGCACAAGTTCACCTATCAAAACACACACCTATTCTTACAACCTCCTCCCTCCAAAAAAAAGTGCCCCCTAACCAAGCACATATAATATCCATCCATTCATAATGTTTTACCTGCTTCTTCCTTCCGGGGGTCACTGGTGCCCATAACTAGCAGTCACAGTGTGAGTGACGGGGTACTCCCTGGACAGGTTGCAAGTCCATCACAGGGCATATAACATTTAGGATCAAAATCATTTTAAAGCAACAGTATGATAGTTTTCCCTTTTCCCATCTTTCCTGCTTGGTATAGAAACTACAGCAAATTGATATGAAGGTGTTTTATATTTTTTATTTTTGTTGATTTATAAAAACTACCACTGAAAAACACTTCTGATACCTTTGATTATTCTTGTGTAAACTGGCCCTTATGTTTCTCTCCACAGGGTGTAGGTAAAAACAAAATAGTAGACAGATTCCTGCACCTTCTCAACAGGCCCAGGGAATACCTACAGCTCCACAGGTGAGGACAATGAATATGTTAAAGGTTCTTGGAAATTAAAAAAATAACTTTTCATAAAACTGCTGTTTGAAACATTTAAGTCTGTCCTTTTCAACCAAAAGCTGTTAAGTATTATTCTCTCTTTATGCTCTTTTCTTACTGTTTTATTTTGAGGTGAACAATTATACCTAAATGGTGAAGTCCATTTAGCTATTTTTTTTACCAAAAACTATCATTTCATGTACCATTTCCTTCTCAAACYACAGTTTGAGAAGGAAATGATTAAATTAGTTTACACTTTTGTAATATTCTAAGCTGACATTATGCCTAAATGGTAAATGGTCTGTACTTATATAACGCCTTTCTATCCATCCAGGACCCTCAGAGCTCTTCACACTACAATCTGTGTCCTCATTTACCCATTCACACAGCACTCTGTTAGGTCTCTACAAAGCTAACATGTACAATCATCTGTGGGGACTAATCAGTACCAATCACATTCATACACTGATGGGACACATCAGAGGCATTAGGGCTGAAGTGTCTTGCCCAAGGACACAACAACTGAGACAGCTGGAACAGGGAATCAAACCAGTGACCTTCTGTTCCAGGATGACTCCCCTAACCACTCTGCCACAGCCGCCCCTAACGCCTTTGTTTTGTGCTAGTGTAAAGTTAACCAAAATATAAAAAAATAATGAATTAATCCTGCCAATGGCTCATTAGGACCACCATGGTAGCTGCACACCAGTGTCTCTTATTCCCTGAAGAGTAAATAAAAGGTTTCAAATCATCGGTCATATAATAACTCAAAGCTCGTAAAACCTATCTGATTTTGTAAAAAAAAATGTCAAAGATATAAAAATGTCAGTTCAGCTACATTTGTATGGACAAACAAAAACAAGGAGCTCAGTATCCCTTGCCCAAACGTGGGTTACCCAAGCCCCACCCTGGGAGTGGGGCTTGTCGCTGAGTGCCTGGTGGCAGGGTCTCTACCCAAGGGGCCCAGTCAGGCTCAGCCCAAACAAGCAACATAGGTTTGACATTCTGTGGGCCCACCACATGTCTGTCAGCTCCCTCCAGTGAATTGAGTGTTGACGTCTAATCCAGGCCTGTAGGGCAGTCCTACAGACTGTTGTTGAGGTACCTACAACAGGCTCTGGTCCTTTGAAGTGACCCTGACTGCCAGCTTTTGCGAGGTAGTCAGCTCTCTCGTTACCACAAATGCCAGTTTGTCCTGGTACACATTTAACAGTAAGACCGTTATCTCTCCCCAGTTGATTGAGGCTTCGGCACACTCCCAAGACAGTAATGACGTAAAGCAGGGCTATTCAACTGAATTTCTCCAGGGGGCACAGCTACTGTAGGTCAACACCTTAGGGACCGAACGTCCAGCAATTAAAGTCATTATGTAAATAAACCAAGTATTACAAAGATCTGTTACCTTTGAAACAGTTTATTTTGCTGCATTTAATCATGAATACAACATACAGAACCCTACTGTATGTAATAAAAGTAGTGATATCCTGATGCATCTAGTAATCCAGGTAGAAAAAATCAAAAAGAAAAAACCAGTAGGTCCTCTGGATGGTTCTTTTTTATTGAAATGTTTCGTCT